CCATCAAGTCCATCAAGTTCAGTTGCAGAGATGAACAAGAAGCAAAGTTTATAGGTTGACGACAGTAAATCTGCATGTAAGTCTCCAAATGAATTGAATCAAATCGAATTTGAGAGTGATTTGATTTGATTTGATTTGATCTGTAAGAATTACTTTTTTAAAAACGAATTTAAAACACTTTTACAACAAAAAAATACTTTTATTTTGTGTGCGGAGATAATTATTATTTTATTATTTCATAAAATGTTCATTATATATATTAATTAAGATTACACAGATTGATAAAATATAAATAGATGAAAATATAATATAAATAAGTTAGTCTATTTATTATCAATCGATAATCATTTAAATTGTTACAGTTGATGTTCTTGTTGAAATTGAGGAATTTCTTCAGATGTATTGTCCAAGTGCTTTGAGGAGTTTCCATTATCAAAAATAAGTTTATCTTGTTTCACCAAATTTGCTAAATCTGCCAATTGTCTTTTTTCTCTTTCTCTGGAAAATAACAAACAAAAAAAAATTTTTTTTATATTTATATCTTTTTAATAATTTATTTGTATTACATACCTTTTTTTGAGATCAATTATTTGACTATATGCATCATTAAGATTATTTTTTATACTTCTAAAAGTTATTGAATGAATAAAGCTGGGATTTTTCTCATCAATCAACTATTTTTCAATTGTTTATAGTAAAAAATATTGAGTTTAAATCAATATACAAATAAATGACAAATATGTTTATATTTATACAAGGCTTACCATACATACTTTCTGCGGTGTCAAAAAATTTATGTGTAAATATGTATAATTATCTTCTTCTGACTTGTAAGCATTTTTTCATTTTTTATTACACAAATATGGAAGGGAACCACATATCCAAATATTGGAAGAAGAACTGTTTCATTTCATTGATCCACATAAATCTAATCACAATAATTATATTCCAAAATATTGTTTATTTAATTATCTAATAGTGATGATAATAAGATCATTTTTACCTTTAGCTGTGTTACTCTCTTTGGGATATCAGTGTCATGTTTATAACTTTCAATGGCCAAGCATTCAAATGATGTAGAAGTCCTGATGAGGATGAAGGCAATTTTGAAGAACATGAATTTTTAGTTGTTGGTGTTAAAAGGATAGTATTATTAATTGTTCTTGATAATGTTAAGGTCCTTTGTGTGGAATGGTATGTAAAGAACAATTATTAATATTTACTTGCTTAATGCTGTAAGTTCTTTATTCCCTTCTTCTTTTGACCTAAATTTGTTACAAAAAAAAATTATTATATTAACTAGAGTAACAACGAGTGGTGAGTGATAACCACCACCATCCTTATTCTTAAAACACTTACCCACTTCCCCCAGCTGCTCCAGATGTATTATCTTGTCTTCTTTTTTTGTCTTTTGATGACATTATAAAAAAAAATTTTTAAAAAAGAAGTTTGTTATTTGATTGACATGCACCAGGGTTGGCAAATGTGCAGTCCATTGATGGTCTATTGGTGGTCCATTGGGTCCATTAGTGTAACACTTTGACCATATTTAGTATTTTATTAATTGCAATGGACCAGTCCAAAGTCCATCTTTCTCAATGGACCAGTCAATTTGCCAACCCTGACATGTACACATTAATTATTTATCCTATTGGTTTTTTTTTTGGTAGGACAGACACGAATTGATTTTTTTTTTTTGGAAAAACAAAAAACAATTTATTTTTTGACAGAGCCCAAGGTGACAAAACCTGAGTGTTGTTGTTTAGTTTGGTTTAGGTCTCCTAAAGAATATGTGTTAATAAATAACCAGAGGTGCTATTTTTTATTTGTATTGATATGTATGAGGTGTCTTTTATTTTAGCTTATAAATATTTTAATTGGAAATCAAAATGCAGAGCAGATCTTGCTGGTTAATTACAAGATTTTCATTGATAATAATAATATTTTACTTTGCATAATCGTAATAATAATACTGGTACCTAGACGTTTCCCTGACAACCATTTCCCTGACGGGATGTTTCCCCAACAAGACATTTCCCTGACAGGACATTTCCCTGACAAGACATTTCCCTGACAATTACATTTTGTATTACAATATTTATTTGTTTCCCTGCCATGCCATAGCCAGCTAAGTTTATCAAAACATTTAAGTCTATTAACCCATTCATTAGGTGACTAAGCTGTTTAAGTTGGTTAGGCCATTTATTAGCCAATTAATATTAAATATAGTTAACAAAATCTTGTCAGAGAAATGTCCTGTCAGAGAAATGTCCTGTCAGGGAAATGTCCTGTTGGGGAAACATCTTGTTGGTGAAATGGTGTCGGTAAAACGTCCTGTCAGGGAAACAGTTGTCAGGGAAACATACCAGACCCATAATACTAATATTATATTATTATAATTACAAGATGTCAAGGCAGCACGCCATTTAATGAATTTTTAGTTGTTGGTGTTAAAAGGATAGTATTATTAATTGTTCTTGATAATGTTAAGGTCCTTTGTGTGGAATGGTATGTAAAGAACAATTATTAATATTTACTTGCTTAATGCTGTAAGTTCTTTATTCCCTTCTTCTTTTGACCTAAATTTGTTACAAAAAAAAATTATTATATTAACTAGAGTAACAACGAGTGGTGAGTGATAACCACCACCATCCTTATTCTTAAAACACTTACCCACTTCCCCCAGCTGCTCCAGATGTATTATCTTGTCTTCTTTTTTTGTCTTTTGATGACATTATAAAAAAAAATTTTTAAAAAAGAAGTTTGTTATTTGATTGACATGCACCAGGGTTGGCAAATGTGCAGTCCATTGATGGTCTATTGGTGGTCCATTGGGTCCATTAGTGTAACACTTTGACCATATTTAGTATTTTATTAATTGCAATGGACCAGTACAAAATCCATCTGTTCTCAATTGACCAGTCAATTTGCCAACCCTGCTCCAAATGAATGTAATGTGATACCATTTATTTTTATTGCTGCTATGCCAGTTGTAGCAGTTATAGCTACTTTATCACTTCCATCAATTCCCTTAAGGTTTGAAGTTATTTTTGATAATAATAAAGTTTTTCCGGTTCCTAATATGACAATGGACATTATCATTATTATCATTTTATTTTAAAGCAATAGTGATGATAATGATAAAAATAATCAATATAAATAGCTTACCCCCTGCTCCAGTGAAAAATGTGTTTCTCTCTTTTTAATAATGAGATCATAAATAAATTTCTGTTTTGAAGATAACGTGATGTTATTATTTTTACTGAATTGTTGGAAAGTTCATATTATCACAAGTCATTAATAAAATTTACTTACACTAGTTAAACTAGTTGCATTCTTTTGACATGTCACAACCACTACCATTCTTTTTTTTTTAACTAGAATGATGAGTAGTGGCAATAACCATCACTGTTCTTTTAATAAACATCTACCTTTTTCAGCACCAAATTTTTCATCTCTTCTTCTTTTGTTGACTTGTTTTTCTTTAGAAAAAAAAAAGAGAAATTTTTATTTGATCGACAAACACATACACACTGATCATTAGTGCTGATCCATTTTTTTTAACATATATAGTACAAAAAGTAGATTAAATTCACTATATAGTAAATATGTCATTTTTTTTTAGTAATAATTTTTTTTTTACAGATGATAATCCTTAACAATACTTTGTATTTCATAAAAACCAATTTTCCTTGAAAAAAAAATTTTTTTTATTTTTTCTATATGCT